TGACGTTTCGATGACTAGTACGATATGTACACTGCCACTGTCATCAGACAAATGACCAAATTACACATTTGTGTGCATACGCTTCACTGGTCATTTGTCTGATGAAGGTAACAGTACTAGTCATCGACACGCCACATAGAAAATTGTATTGGTTGTGTAAAAAGAACTTCTCATAATTCATACTTACCAACCTGAAGAAAATATTTAGAAAGTGCCTATTTATTGTTTACATGCAGCGGATGTGGGTAGACAATTAATTAATATGTGCATATTTATTGTTCAAATACAGCTGATGCCGGTAGATAAATACATTACGTCACTATTTTGTAACCAGAGTCACATTTCTGAAGGAGCTTTCTTCTCTTTTCGAACAAGTTATGTGTCAAAAGTCAGTGAAGAGAGATCCCCACAACTAGATTTAGCTGGTTTATTGCACGAGTTATGATATATATTTTGTCCCTGGCTGAAGGGGACGAATGATGTCACCGGCTCCCATCTCTCAGAGGTACGTANGGGGGGTTTGGATGAGGTATTGGACCCACCTTACCTTCCTACGGAATGGGGAATGAAAGTGCAAATTTGCAAGTTTGTACCACTGCCACCTTTCATTACATAGGAAGATGATGGCAGATTTAATGAAGAAGAAACCCTGAAGAGCCCTGTGCAGGGTGAAAACAGCTTGTTTATACTCGATCGTTAGATCTTATTTGTTCTACACTTACCTATTTCACACGGACATTAAATAATTTTAATTATATATAATCAATAACAAATCGACAAGCATATTTGTACATACAACCGATATTTTTTTTAGTCTTATGCTAAGAGCAAGCCCCCAATCCAGTCTATTTCTACTGTTTTATCTCATAAGTATTATAGACATGTCAATAGAAGCTGGTGTGTATCTAGGTGCGACATGTGTCACATACTTTGGTTTCGACGAGTTGTACTCCTGTTGGACTCACATGTGTGGCATACAGTTTTATTCTAAAGTACGTACATGTTATGTCACCGCATAGTATGTGGATTGGAGTCTCTGTTTGGAATTATAATTCTACGTTATTATCAAAGTTGAAAACCCATTTCTGATAACATATGAATCTATCAAATACATTTTCTGTGTTGTCCTGACTGTAATGTCTTTATCAGACTCCATCACAGAGGCCGTGTAGTTCGTGATAATTAAAGATCGCCCTTAACAGTGTAGTACTACAGGGATAGACTTAAGATTCGTCAGCTAGCTACTTCAAGTCATTAAAGCTTCCTGGGATAATCCTCTTTAGCGTTTATCTTTCGAGTTTTAAAATTAATACATACAAGGAAAAATACTTGAATGACTTTCAGGAGGGGCTGAGGGGAAGGGGCAACATGATATTGGCCATAAAACATTGGTCATAATTAGATACTTAGAAAGGGGACGGGGGCTCTGGATCCATCTAGTTGTTGATTAGTCGCCAATACAGTATTTATCACTGCAGAACAAGCATTCGAAACCAAAATCTCGAGCATTTCATTTTATATTTATCATATTTAATGAGAACGAGTTTCGTATCCTCACGAAAAAAAATGCCAAAACTTTTAGATGTACGATAAAGAGAGTCGTACATATGTGTTACTATAGGCTACATATACAAACAGAATTTATTAATACGAGGGGGAAAATCTCTTAAAATCAGGTTATTACAATCAGATATTAATTGGCTTTTCATGGCCGAGTGTGTACGTCATCTCTTCAAGTTTCTCACAGACTGTGGTCATCATCGGCTTTCGTACAAACATATATTAGACATATTTATATGAGCCATGCTTAGATTGAACAAAAACTTTGTCACGTTCCACCTCGACTTACCACAAGGACCTGAGAATTTTACAGCTATATTTGGACCTAAACTAGGGTGTTCAATGTAATTTTTACATTTTTAGGGGTTTAGATCAACTTTTGGTTATAAAGGCAACCCCCAATAATGGAAATCAATGTGGGGAATGGGGGGGGGGACATTTTTACTGAAAGTCTACTTTATTATATTGGCTATCATAGCAATCTTCAAAATCCAAAAGTTCCGACAAAGATTAAAATAGGTTGTTTTCTTGTGAATCTAGAATCACAAGTTTGAAAACAAACTCAAAGCTTCGCATCATTTTTCTTTTCCTTCTTATTTCCAAGTCTACCATTCGAAAATATTTTATAGGACAAACACACTATCTCAGAATTCCAATGATATTGCAAGAAAGTTGTCTGGGAATGAATGTTTTGGTGACCATCTTGGAAAGGAATAAACCAACTTTTCTTTTCCAAATATCTTCTCTGTTGATTAAATATTCATTCCATACAAATTGGAATAAATAGTTTCTTTGTCAGTTTTCAGTCATAATAATTAGACTATACACAAAGGCAGGAATTCTGATGTATAGACTATTTGGTCATTCGATCCTTATTTATGATGCATTGTTAGTTTGACAACATTCGACTCTTAGTAAACAACTCCGACTTTTTGAGAATTGCAGTTTTATGCTTCTACGAAAAACGAACCAAGTACTCATTTGAATTTAATGGTCGTTTGTGATAAGGTTTAGGTCTACACCTCACCAAAATCAAAGAATGTGTGTCCATTTTGGTAATAAAAACTGTTGAGTATGGCTAATAAATATGACTGTTAAATATTATATAAAATAATAACTTTTGTAACAATGAAAACAACCAAAACATTAAATGATGTATTTTTTCTTGTATTTCAGGCAGCACAGGAATATTTGGAAGATGTGAATAAATCCAAAGAGGCTGCAATTATGAAAAACAACTGGATTGAAACTGAAGATATTATTATCAGCAATTAAGATTTTTCCTTGATGGAGACCTCCCTTCTAGTTGAGGCCAAAGCTCCCTTACATGTCCTCCCCACCAACTCACTTTCCTCATTGGTTGCAACAGTTCATGGGGCCCCCTTTATGGGTTTCGAGCCTCGTATTGGTATGTACTGGAATCAGAACTTTATTTTAGGTTACAACCAATATCAAAATCCAAATATGTTAAAGTTGAAAAGTGCCACCTATTTGAAGAAATATATCTAAGTGAGGACAGTTATGAAGGATGGGGTAGTTTCCGATTCCGATAATCATTTCTGTGAGAGCCCCCGTCCCCACACTGGTCTTAACCGTCCAAGACCACTGGCATAACTGTTTGTGTATCAAATACTTGTATAAATACACATACATGCAATACGCCAGTGTGAATTTTCATGAACATACTTATGTAACTTACAGAGCAGTATTAAACCGCAAGAGGCTTGGAAATCTGTATATAATATAATAACACAGCATGTAACTGTTCAAAGAAATGTACCTGGCAAGTCTATAACATTTCACATGATTTGAAATTAGCAAGCAATGGTTCAGCTTAATTGACCCTCAACTTAGAAAATGTTAGGGACTGTTATTAACTGTTGCCTCAGCACATTTCATGATAGCACACAATACACTTGACTGGCTTATTGTAGAATGGATTCTGTGCTATACCCCTAGTTTACGTACGTAAGAAATAATATTTCGAATATCAGAAAAGTATGCACTCAAAATAACTTTCGCAAGCCTACCCTATTTTTTGCATAAAATTGATAACTGAAGTTTGATGTGATTCATGTATTACAATATTTATTTACAGTGAGATTGTTGTTTAATGACACAATGTTAATTAGTCCCCCACCGGTCCCCGGATGGGGGCTATAGAAATTGATTTAAGTTTCATGCTGTTACCATTAACATGATCATACCATGTACGCGTATGTACGTGCATGGTGAGCGAGACGCGCATGCGCGAGATATTTACCTGTCCCCGCACCTGTATACGTGGCGTGACTCAATGATACGACACCTCACAGAGCAGATGTATTACCCTTCACTGATCCCTGCTGTCTCCTGGAAAGTCATTGTTAATATCATTACTCATATTTCACAATGTCTATTTCATATGTATTCTATGTCTCATTTATACATTGTATGTAATTACCTGCAATGCGTTATTCGTGTTGCAGGCTCTCGTCTATGGAATAAAGATATTAAAGAAAACCTACGACTTCATCTCATTTGTGGTTGAGAGAGGGGTACAAGTGTATACTGACACATGACCCATGGTAAAATCCTAATTGACCTAAAGACATTTGTGACGCACGTGCACTGCTGCTGGTCTGTAGGAAATATATGTTTCACCCTCTACAGTCAACTCTTTATGGCAGCAGTACATGCTGTTGTTCCTCGGAGGAAAAATACACTTCAGACAATTGCCAACACAGACATTATATAAGAGTAAATATTCGTTCACATCATTTTCAGCAAATTTAAATGGTGTTTGTCCTGCATCTCAACTGACTGTATGGTGATCGTTTTTCCTAAAATGTTATTTATAACATCAAGAAAGCATGTGTCTTGAGTACTTTGATTTTCCATTGAAACTGATATAATTACAAACAATAATGCATTTTTGTTTTGTGGAACTGAAATTAACATGCCATTTTGACTCTTTATTTCGGATAATTTGTATAAATTGGTAATTTTCACGGTTGACAGCGGCCAGGGACGTATAGTTTTACCCCCTTAAAATATACATTATCGTCGATTTCTAAATTATCAGATGATCAAACAACATTGTTGTAACTGTCACATTTAGAAAATAATGTTTGAAATTATTGTGTTATTTGATATTTTTTTTATAAACGATCGCGTTAATATATTAAAAAAATATATATACAGTGTATTCCTGGTACGGGGTTTTAGTCCGGGAACGGCGTACAAAATTTACCTACCACCGCCATTAAGCGACCTTTTATTATTCCAGCTGACATTTTCACCCAATCTTGATTTCTTCTGTCTCTTTTTATATTTTCTTTATAATAGGACGACACAAATCCAATTTATTATTCAAACATTTGGAGCTAACTGCACATATTTCCGTATTATTTGTATCCGGTTTCATTTGTAGGCGCACACTTCCGGTTCATGTAATGAAGGTCATTATATGGAGCCTAACGAAACGTGCGTTTATGTTATTGGTCGGATATTTGTGTAACTATAGATCTGTTTTAGCCGGTCTATAATTTTTAAAGGCAATGAAGGTATCGGTGACAAAATAGGTCGTAAGGAGTGAGTGTGGTGAAATGTTGTACACTTAGAAGTAGGTTTCAATCATACAAACCTGTTCATTGTGTGATACAAACCAGCAGGCAGCACGACGATCTAGTCACGTACGCACACCTTGGTCGAGAGTCTCGACACACAATCCTGAATAACAGTGAGTGATTTTAAATTTTATAGAAAGAGACGAGATTTTATGTTAATTTTAGAAATGCAAGGTTTAAAGTCAAATCACCATTTGAATATCTTTTTTCCATATAGTTACTAGTTAGTTACCCCAACAATGTTAGAGGTTTTACACTGAAAAAAAGGCCGACCAGCGGCCTCTTACGTTACAGGTGTAGTTAGTTACCATATTGTGTGTTGCACATGAGTTTGACGTTTTATATATCAATAAGATACAACAGTGTAGATAAAAATGCCCTATACTATATAAAAACAACACTGGTGTGTTTAAAGTATATAATATTATCTTCTGACAATACACCAGAGGTGGTACATGTATTTGAAATCAGATTATTGGAAGAAGAATGTTTTTTCTTCATCTACATGAGCTAGACTGTTATAAAGTGACGTGCCATAAGTATTTCATGAATTTTTCTGGCTTTTTTTTGGTAAAAAATTGGTTTAATTCTGGACCTGGGATATCGATCCTCCTCAAAAGCGTCTTCAACCGACAATAAGCATCTTCAAGTGACCACAAGTGTCGCCATACAAATTTTAAAAAAAAATACCAAATAAAGTAAGCGACATCAGACGATATGTTGTTAATATGACTATAATATACCTCTGTACCAAATTTCAATTTTATATTTGAAAAATTGACAGAGTTATAATTTAAGGAACTGAATTCTTACGATCAGCGGCGTGGCACATTTGTGTATTAACCTGTAAGCGTCGCCAGACATTATCTTTAAAATGCTCACTAAAGTAAGCGACATCAGAAAGTATGTTTATATTGATAAGACTTTAATTAAATTCATATAAATTCTAAATTTCAGCTAGATAATTGAAAAAATGACCGAGCTATGATGAATTGACTTTTTAGGATCGGCGGCACAAAGAAAGAAAAGTGTCTACTGCTTTTCTTGGTAATAGTAATATGATTATCCATTGCAAACTGAAAGACTTCTGACCATGATAGGTTATTTTGCAATACCAATTTTTACGGCAAAATTAAGCATTGTGTTTATGGGAATGATGTCAAAGTATACTTTTTATGCTGGGATGAAGAGTGATAACTCAACAACTGAGCCGCAGATAATAATACAGATATTACCAGAGGAAACATTGGATAACTCTCTTAACAGGATGTCAAGTTTATAAACTTCTATGTATCTTCCTCGTAAGTGATGTTGGTCACTGTATAGTATTCATACAATATGATTTGAGGCCTGTTCCTGCATTGGATGTCAAACAAAGTCAAAAACAGTTTTTGAAAAAAAAGGAAATTAACAAAGAATCCAATGGTGAATAACCAAACGTGAAAGACTTATGATAGTTGATCTATCTTATTGATATATATATATATAGCGTCCAACTTCTGTGGTGTTTGTGATGGTAAAATGGGTGGTTATATCTTAAACTGAATTACAGTTTTTATCAATATATTATTTGTTATTGTATAAAAGTTTTCAATACACAAGAAAAGAATATCTTAGTTGAGGATTTTTAAAGTAACAATGTTATATATATATATGTATAATTATTAATAGTGGTGCTAATTTTGAACATACCATAGATGTTACTGTACATGTGTTAGGTCAACAATTCTTATAATTAGGGTATTTTTTACACCTAGTTGTATATTAGCCTAAACTCTTAGTCTTCTAAGCCTCTTTTTTAATTACTATTAATATACATGTATACATTGTTTAGCATTTGATGATCTTCGATTCACATAAAATAAGAAAAACAAACAACTACATGTACCAGTATTTTTTTCTTTCCTGAAATAGGTGGTGCCTACTATCACACTTGCTATGAGCGAACACTCAACGTAATCATGGGCGTCCTGAGCACCTGTCAATGCACCTGTCAATATCAGTGTTGTTTAGACATGTACATGAAAAGGAGGAGCCATAAAATGTCATGGATAGACCAGCATATACTTGTACAAATACTATTGTCACTGGTGGTAAAACTAAATCCAGGCACAGTACCAACTGTACGTCTTACACCATGTACAACGACGAAAATGACTATGTTCAACCAAATCTACACACCAGTAGCAGCAGCGATAAAAGAAAACGCCTCTTACCTGTTTTAATTGCAATAACTGGATTTTTTGTTGGTAAGTACTATTTATTATTATCATTATATACTTAGTGATTGCATTGGCTGCTTCCAAATGAATATATGTCATGAAGGGCTCAAGCTGCTGTTCACACCATTGAGGTATCTGTTTGGGGTAGAAAACATGTGTCTGCATGACAAAAAAAGTACATTTAAAAATGCATATTTATACTATTTTGATTATTATTTTGATTAAATTTATTCTTTTCCCATAGATGTGACTAATTGGAAGGGCACTCCTACCCTTAATTATATTGAATATAGCTAACAGTACTTATTGATAAGCCATTTAACTGCTTGAAATAGAGACTTTTAATAAAATGTTCTAGTAAGCTAATTAGCATGCTCTAGTTTCAATGAAAACGACAGAAAAGATGGATGTAATTTCCTTTACAAATTGATGGCTTTGAATTCTTCAAAAATGTACACTTTCCCCGTCTCTTTATCACTTTCTTGACACACAGTTGTATTGTCTCATATGCATGTTGTTGTCAAGATGTAAGAAATAAGGAACACATCTGGTAATGAACCAGAGCCTTAGCAGTAAGGCTGTCACAGTTACAAATTATTGTAACCGGTTAACCGTTTTCCAATAACCGACCCGTAACCGGGTAACCGTATTCTAGTACAGATTACTAAGAATAGTTGATAAGTTGTTACGTTGTCAACCAAAATGAACAAAATAATTTTTCAAATAACTGAATTATTATAGAATCGGCTAATGGTCAAGTACAAGTTGAGTCAAAACCATTCTTTTTATCAAACAGCAATTTAGACATTCGTATTGACATCTTGTAGCGAATCTAGCGTTAGTCTGCCATTTTGTTGCTGATTGTTTATCCTCAGCACGTATGCGTAAAAGCCATGCGGAAGTTGAATAAAACATTATGGAAATGTACGCAAGCTCTTTTCTACAAAGGTTGCATGCAGTTTTTGTTTTGTCCGTACTTAATTTGGGAAAGGTCCAAATTGCAGACTTGTGGGAATCAGACATCATGTTTATCGCTGGCTCCAGTATCAAGCATTGATTGTGGTTATGTTACAGTTATTTACGGTAAAAGATCTAGAATCTGCAGGAAGTTCCAGTATACGACTTCAGACATCCTCTAGATTTATCCTTACAGTCTTGGCAAAACATTCTTATGTGGAAATTGAAACTTTTAGACGACAAAGTATGTCATTCAAAGACAAGATACACTATAGTGTCATCACTTGTGAATGGATTTGCACCTTATACCATGGTATGTTGAACAAATGATTATGTACAAGAATAAACAACACACAGCTACAGGGCTTTTCAGCACACATTTTAATATCGAACATGGGAATTACAGCCTTACTTAGAGGTCACACATACTAGATTCTAGGATACTCATAGATTTGCTGAGTACAATATATGGAAATTCAGTTTTAAATTCTCAAAAGAGAATTGCTTGAAGCATTTTTAGGTGCATCTACATGTACAAGTTAGAGGATCATTCATGCATTTTCTTTTCATTTTGGCACTAGATTGTAATGTGTATAGATTTCCAAAGCCTCAAAATACTAAAATGAACCCATAGTGTACAAATATGCAGTACACATGTATACATTATTATAATTTAGCGAGGAGTGTACAAATACCAAATCAATATCAAAATTAAGAGGGGCCATTCTATGTAAAATTTAAAGAAAATTGGAACATGGAAGGGTCAATTTCAGTTTTGAGGGGTCAATGGCCCAATGGCCCCTTCCAGGATTATCCCTGTGTATAATGTTATGATACATTTAGTGAGCTTGATTGTAATTAATTGCATTAATCATTCTTAATTTACAAACATCAGACTGTGTCTGAAAAGTTGGTGTTTTCTAAATGATTTTTGAATGGAATGAGTTTTCATTCCATGTTTAGAGTAAAATACTGTACATTTTTGTATACATGTGCATATTTTTATTTTTCTATCCTAGTTTTACAGGAGTGTCATATTGGGTTTATATGTTTATTATTTAGCTAGGACAATGGTCCAATGGTGGGAATTCCTTGTTCTCAATTTATAAACATATTAATGTTTGAACTCCACATATTTCTCTATTTATGACAGTAATTGACTGTTGCAGTGATACAATTTCATCATACAAACAAACTGTATGTCACAACCAGTCAGTATATATGCATTCATAATGAAAACATTGGTCATGATTTTCTCTTTAAGTGACATTTGAAATTCATACAGAATATCTCTCTAAAACAAATCATTTAACATGTTCAAGTATTTAATTTTATTCTGCTGAATGAAGTAGACCTCTATGTCATATTTTTATATTGTGAGAAATTTGATTGTGATTCAATCATTCATCCCAATTGTTATTTTTTTGTATTTTAACTTTTAAGCTATTAAAGCAACACCAACTATCTTTTACCCAGTTGTTAATTTTCTGTATTTTAAACTTTTAATTTAAAAGTAACACAGAATATCTTGCATATATTATAGTACTTACACTTAATACTATAACCCGACAATATCTATCATTTAGTGATGTTCAAAAATACTGTTACCAATAACAACACCACATGCGAAAGTGATGATAGCTTATGTTTACTGATGTGAAAACTTCAAAGAATATAATTCTGTTATTTAGACTGGAAATCTTTAAAGTTTTAAAATCATCTGTAACAAAATGGAATTTTTTTTCATATAAAAACGTATTTGTATGTAATCCCTTGGATTGACTTGCATATTTTATATACAGGTACAACTTTGTATGTGTGGCAGATTTTGATTGTACATAGGATTAAGGTCGCCTTCTAGCTTCGAGCTAGAGGGAATTTCCCTTTAGCTCAGTGGTAGAGCGTCCGACTAGGAACCTGGAGATCGAAGGTTCGATCCCCGGTGAAAGCACACTTTTCTCTTTCCTGTTACAAATGGTGTCTGTGGATCTCCCTGTGGTGACAGGGATTAGTTAGAATGTTAACCTGGGTTGTGGTGTTCGAGGGTGAACAAATTTAAAAAAGGGGGGATCGGAGTAGTGTGGCAGATTTTAATTGTACATAAGATTACGGTTGCCTTCTAGCTTCGAGCTAGAGGGAATTTCCCTTTAGCTTAGTGGCAGAGCATCCAACTATATATATAGCTAGGAACCTATAGGGGACATGGGTTTGATCCATGGTGAAAGTAAACTATTCTTTATTACCTGTTACACATGTACATGTGTGAAAGTAAATTTATGGAAAGGGACTTGGCATTAGTATTTGAACAGAAAGTCTTTAAAATCAAACGCAACAAATTATATAAGATGCAAGCTAGCAAAAGAAAATCGTAGCTTATTTTAGTTTTGAACAAAAATTGTGAAGATATGCAATCTGTAGAATTCTGTCAAGTCTGAACATAATTTGCCTATAACTAGAAGTATTGTGAATGGGACTTAGTGAGTACCTTCCACATTCTGACATCACAAGACACAGTATATTCTAGTCAAATGCAATTATAGCAATTAAGATTTGACATGGACTTAAGTACCTATTGACAGGTCACAGATGCTGTGTACATGTCAAAACAATTAAGGGGGAAACACTCTACAAAACATTTCCTTGAACAAAAGCATTCAATTTCAGTTCCTCGTCATTGATGGACATGTGAACTGTGCATCCCTTTTATTTAACAAAGATGTACATCAGCCAGTAGTTTACAATAATTGCCAGTAATTTCAGGTTTGATCCATTCATCCAGAAGTTACATTTATTTCCCAAAAACCACATCAAATTGATAAAAAAGGGATATACAATCTTTAAAAACATGCCTGTCTTATATTATTCCTTTGAAAGTGTGATATTGAGGACTTATGAATCCAATGTTGAAAATGCTATGGTAGAAGTTATTAAAGTTTCATAGGGGTGAAAGAGTTAAGCCATGCAATCATTGGGTTACTACATTACATTTGTACTTTAAAATTATGATGAAATATTTTTTTTACAAATGAGCATACATAAAATTGTATATATTTATATATACATACTTTTAACTGTTTTTATCATAAAGCTTTATAATTAATTCAGACAAAAATCTCACGAGACCAGCTATAGTCTAAGTAGTAGAGGAAGATACGGTAGACAGAAATATGGTTTTAAAACATGTACAGGTTGAAGGAATTCTGATCCTAAAGCCATCTGTTGCAGATTATACGTTATATTTTCACATGTAAATGCAAATGATGTGTTCTAAAAGTCCAGAGTCAATGCAGGATAACTTAGTAACCTATTAAATATATATATTTTTTTTTTTATATGTCCCAAAGTTAAACCCAGCCGTACAGACTTGTTAACTGTTGTCATGTTGTTGCTACTGAAGTGGGTTTTTGCATGTATCTGCAATATTTTGCAATATCTTTATAATTACCGACAATGTGATCACTGGAACACAATGGGGGAAGGCATAAAATCGAGGGATGATGGTGGTTCTTACAGTCAATATAAATGATAATTATATGAGGTTATGCATAGTGACAGAAAAACAGCATCAGAAACAACAAGAAGTTCTTGAATAATGAAACCGATACTTTGAGATTTTGGACAGACATATCTTCTAGATGATTTAGTGAGTGATAATGATAACTATATTGTGTTTTGGGTCAGAAAGATCAGAATATTATACAGGTGTTAACTGTCTGATCACCGGTAGGTCCCTGGCTCAGTCCTATTCAGGTACAGTTATAATAACTAGTGACAAATCTCTAGTGTTTTGCCTACAAATGGACAGGGGTACTTAAATACATATCTCAAATCGAGCAATAAAGTAATGATACCTGGTAATGCATTTCCTTCCCTGAGTTTGAAATCTACAGGGGTAAGCTGTGACGTTCCATTGCTTGTAATGTTCATTGTTAAATGTAAAACATTTGTGTTAAAACCTGCAGATTTGTTTTCTTCCTAAATCTGCCCTTGAGCTGGGATTTTAAATCTGTACACATCTTTAGTAATTCACTGGTTTCTGTGTAGCAAAAACAAAATTAAAAAAACTACGATATTGCATGCCATCGGTAAGTGAAAAATTCATTAGATAATTGTATCTCACTTGTATCTTAAAATAAGCATGTACATTAATGTTTTTGAACATGGGTTAAAAAAAATAACGATTTGGAAATTTAAATGGATAATGATAAATTTTTGAGTACATGTTTAAAATTCTTTGTGTGGACTTGCTAAAGTGTTACATTTGTTTACTACATTATATCTATACATAAAATTATTTCATATTTCATGTGATGATAGGGTCACAAGGTGGTTGGCCATGTTCATAGACTAGCTGTTGGTCCCCAAGGGTGGCTACCATAGGCAAAACAAAAATATGTGTGTTTCAGGTATCCCCCTTTCTACCCTAGAATTTCCTGCCAATCCTAGAACATAATTTATCACCTAGTGATACTCAAGCTTGATGTATTAGGGTTTCTTCGGAGACTTCCTGTTCTGGGGTCCTGCCCTAGGTTTCTGATAGCTTGATGTATTAGGGTTTCTTCCTGTTCTGTGTGGTCCTGCCCTAGGTTTCTGACAGCTTGATAGTCATTATAATGTGTGAATATGCATAGTAAACTTTGATATAAATCAAAGTATTGATTTTTTTTTGCCTAGACTACCCAATTTTATCACCTTTTTTAGCATAATGTTTTTGACCCAAAACATGTGGCTTGAATAGATTTTGGCATGGCTTATATTACATATACATGTATGTGATGCTAACCTAGTTTAAAAGGTCCTTATTAGTACAGTACCTTTCCTCTTTTGCTATATTTTATCTACCAGGTATGTTTCTGAACACTAGATATGGAGCTTCATGCTTGTGATCTATGGTTTAAGTACCACTGATGAGATCCTAATTGAACTCTGTTTGGTTTATGCCCTGATTCGCACAATTTTCAATCAGACCTGTGCCACTTTGTATTGCTGGTATATATGATTACATGTATTTCATTATGTTGTGGCAAAATATAAAGCAGATTGCTTTTCATCAACTTTGACCTGGTTATTTAATGGATGAAAATTAAACAGCTAGATTGCTAGTACAGTATATGAAAATATGAAAAATTGATATATAAACATATTGATCTATATAACTAGCCACTTTTGAAAATAAACCACCTGTTTGATACTTAAAGCATTAACATGTGGTCTTAAAATGAGTTTCTTCTGTTGTTGTTTTGTTGGAATGCCATTAATAATTGCCAAAATGCCATGTTTTCATGTTTTTTTTATCACTCTGTAAGAGACAGTGTTGTTGTCTGCACAATGGTTCATGTAGGATAACTCTGAAGAAGTGCTAGGAATTTTCATGAAATCTTGAATATTTCCTTCTTTGTTTTTGTTGATTTTGTATTATATATATTATATATTATATAATATATGTACTTTACATGTCAATGTGTTTAACCACCAAATATTGATATTGTTCGGATGTTTTTAGTAAAAAAGATGTTAATCTTCAGATTTTCCTAAGTATTTGACTTATAAGTACGAGTTAAAACACCGTGCCAGTTTATTAGTGCCAGAGGACAAACATTGGACTCTGTGAATACAGTGATAATGGTAAACAGCTAATTAGGTCCCAAACATATTTGAGTTTCCTGTAACATCTTTGAAAAAATTAGGATAGGTATACGTAGGTAACACATTTATTGATACAATTTAAAAATGATATTATGTGGTTTATATAGGAGAGTGGTCTTGCCTTAAGCAGTTTCTTATTTGAAAATTGACTAAAAATGTTTAGGATAAGTACAAAATATTAGAGTAGGCAGGGTTACCAAAAACACAAAATATTTTTTGTATGGCCTTATTTAAACTCAATCCGAATATAAAGTCCCAGATATTTAAATAGCAGTCATGACGCCTGAGTATCCTGAGGAGATATATATTTAGATGTCAGTTTTATACTATTTAAAAATCTTGACATGAAAACTAAACATTTTGTCTATTGCTATATATATATATACATGTTTTTCCATTCAGATTCGGTTAGATTAGCGTCATTTTCCCTTAGACAGAATACGAACGTCACGATCTAGGTTTACAGTACATTAGATAACAAACAAGTTATCATATAGCAAAAAAATTATATCTCCAATTACTGTATCTGCGGTTACTTCTGTTATATTTGGAAACACCCGGATATTTTTTAAAGGTTATAGATCATATTATATATGATCCATCTAGTCTAGCCGTCATGGTTACTTGTGCGTGGGCGTTTCAGTAGGATTGGTTACTTACACGTAGGTGTTTCAGAAGGCTTGTTTGTTCATATGGCTGTTAAGATTGTCATATATCTTAATAGAGAGTTTAAAAATCTCATTTGAAATATGTGTGTTCTACATAATCGCTCTAAGAAACCTGAGGTAGTTTTAATGTCAGAATACTTATGAATGCTCTTTCTATGAATTTAAATCGTAAAAGACATTTGAAATAGCACTGATGGAAAACTGGTAAAATTAGTCCCTTGACACTCATAAAAATATCAAGAATAGAACAAACTTGAAAAAAATCTTCAGTTGACATAATACACATATCAACATGCAAGTTTTGATACCTTATATTAATGTGTAAATAGTACAGAGGAAAACAATGTCATACAAATGTATACGTTGTTACCTTATAAAATTACAATAATATAAGGTAACAACGTATACATTTGTATGACGTTGTTTTCCTCTGTACTATTTACCTTATATTAATGTGTAAATAGTACAGACGAAAACAATGTCATACAAATGTATAAGTTGTTACCTTATATTAATGTGTAAACAGTACAGAGGAAAACAATGTCATACAAATGTATACGTTGTTACCTTATAAAATTACAATAATATACATTGTTACCTTAAAATTACAATAATGTACATTGTAGTCAGACGTTATAAAATTACAATAATAAACATTGTTACCTTATAAAATTGCAACATTATACATTGTTACATTATAAAATTACAATTATATACATTGTACATTATTAAATTACAATAATATACATTGTTGAATTATAAAATTACAATTATATACATTGTACATTATAAAATTACAATTATATACATTATTGAATTATAAAATTACAATAATATACATTGTTACATTATAAAATTACAATTATATACATTGTACATTATAAAATTACAATTATATACATTATTGAATTATAAAATTACAATAATATACATTGTTACATTATAAAATTACAATTATATACATTGTACATTATAAAATTACAATTATATACATTATTGAATTATAAAATTACAATAATATACATTGTTACATTATAAAATTACAATTATATACATTGTACATTATAAAATTACAATTATATACATTATTGAATTATAAAATTACAATAATATACATTGTTACATTATAAAATTACAATTATATACATTGTACATTATAAAATTACAATTATATACATTATTGAATTATAAAATTACAATAATATACATTGTTACATAATATAAATAACAATAACATACATTGTAATAAAGTCTGTTTCCTTTTTTCCACCAGTTTGTACTGCACCGTTGCTGTATGTATTTGGACCTGTAGAAGAGGATATGCTATCTGTACCTTACATTAAACTACCACGTCCTGAATTCCATCGATCTTCCTCCAACAATTCACACCAGACACCCACCACTCCAGATCATTATCAAGCTGGAGAGTTTCTACGGGACACCCGAGTTGCAGATCATTGTCACTTGCCCGATGTTCCAGCCTTGGGAATGGAAGGTTAGTTAATAGTTATGATCAAGGTAGTTTAGAAATACATATTAACAAAGCCACAGGTAAGGGATCATCACGTATCTGCAGTGATATAAGAATACATGTACCATACAAAAACAAAATCTGGTAGAATTGCTTGAATCAACATTTATGATGAATTATATGTCCTTGTTTTTTCCTGCATTTTAAGAGGAAATCTTTCTCTTGAAAAAATGAATTCAGTTTAGGAAAGGTAATATTTTAAGATAGGTATATATATGTTATTTATTAATTAAACTTTTTCCCCCTTTTCCTGACTAGTGTCTTCCTGCTTTTTTCCCCTGACTTTTTCTGTCTTTCTTCTTCCTCCAAATCCCTTAGCTTCTGCAAAACGTTATTGCAAAATTGTTAAGAATTTATTTAGATAAGTAACTGAATATTTAAATTGATCAATGCACAATATTTTACCTTTGAAGGTTTGTAAAATCATGTCTCAAATTTCTTTTTTTTTTTATGTTATTTGAACTATCTGATGAATCCTGATCTGTCTGAACTGCTTAATTCTTATTTAAAGACTGTCGATTGTTTTTAGGATTATTGATCAGCAAACTCTTGGTTCTTAACCTCACCAACTTCAAAACATCAAAAAGGTTTCAGAATGTGAATTATCATGAGAAATGAAACTTGAAACTGACAAAGTGAAGCTTAGATTTATTTTAGATCATTTTTTTTCACAAGCAGAACAGATAAGCTTAAACATTTTACAGGTTTTACATTTGCTGTCACTGCCCTGGCTGGAAAGGTGCTTGTTATTTTTAGGATTATTGAGTAGCAAGCTCTGTGTCCCAAACTCAATCACTTTTGGAAACAGAAACAGAAGATTATACATTGTAAAGGTCATTTTCTGTCTCTGCCCAGGAATGATGCATAGTTATATATCTAAGTATGGGAGGTATACCGCTAGGATCAGTTTTATAACAAATGATTGATAGCTGTCAGATGAAGGGCCACATATTATCAGTGATATATGTTGTCATCGAGGACTTATCAGAGCACCTGTCTGTCTATCTTCCTGTGTATATAGCTATCACATCCACCATAAACCTGCACTTATATGTCAACATGTGGCCGTGAATGTCCTGACAAAACTGTGTTTACATTATGTTGGGAACACATACAGGTACTAGTTTTAGGATCAACAGTAATATGACCACATGCATTGGGTTCCCATTGATACAATATTGTATAGAGGGTGGGCAGGGAGGCACGAAATAATATTGATGTGGGTTTTTAGGTCACCTGAGCTTTGCTCAAGTGACCTATTCTAATCGCTTTTCGTCCGTCGTCGTCCGTCGTCCGTTGTGCGTCGTGCGTAAACTTTTACATTTTCAACTTCTTCTCAAGAACCAGTGGATGGATTTTTTTCAAACTTGGTCAGAATCATCCTTGGTAGATGAGGCTTCAAAATTGTAAAATTGGGATTCCTACCCCAACCCCTGGGGCCAGGGCGGGGCCCCAAAGGGAAAATTAACCAATATTTCAAAAATCTTCTTCTCCAGACTCAGAGGTACTACAGTGATTTTCTCTACGTGGAAAGAAAGATCATCAGGGGCTTTACTTAAATTGTAAATTTCAGGACCCCCGAGCTATCCGTTCTCCCTTGGGGAGGGGGTAAAGTTTACTATAGTTTATATAGGGAAATAACACTTTTGGGTATATTTTGACAACTTTCTGTAGGAAATTATTTTTACTTGGTGAGAATTATCCTTGGAGGTAGATGGTTTCAAATTGTAAAATTGAGATTCCTACCCCGACCCCTGGGGCCAGGGCGGGGCCCCAAAGGGAAAATTAATCAATATTTCAAAAATCTTCTTCTCCAGACTCAGAGGTACTACAGTGATTTTCTCTACGTGGAAAGAAAGATCATCAGGGGCTTTACTTAAATTGTAAATTTCAGGACCCCCGAGCTATCCGTTCTCCCTTGGGGAGGGGGTAAAGTTTACTATAGTTTATATAGGGAAATAACACTTTTGGGTATATTTTGACAACTTTCTGTAGGAAATTATTTTTACTTGGTGAGAATTATCCTTGGAGGTAGATGGTTTCAAATTGTAAAAGAGATTCCTACCCCGACCCCTGGGGCCAGGGCGGGGCCCCAACGAAAAAAAATTAACCAATATTTCAAAAATCTTCTTCTCCAGACTCGGAGGTACTACAGTGATTTTCTCTATGTGGAAAGAAAGATCATCAGGGGCTTTACTTAAATTGAAAATATCAGGACCCTGAGCTATCCGTTCTCCCTATAGGAAGGGGGTAACGTTTAATATAGTTTATAAAGGGAAATAACACTTTTCGGTATATATATTTTATCCATTTTCAGCAGAAAATTGCTCAAACTTAGTCAGAATCATCTTGGGTAAATGAGAGTTTTACTTTGTAAAATTAGGATTCCTGCCCCATCCCCAGGGGCTAGGGCGGGGCCCCAAAGGAAACATTTACCAATATTTTCAAATTCTTATCCATTGATGACATGACAAGTATTGTATTTCACTTAGTTTACATGCTGATTTCCACATCACATCTAAACAATAAAATTAAAGCTACCACTACCTATGATATAACTCAGGTGACCGCTAAGGCCCTTGGGCCTCTTGTTTAGTATGACTGACTAAAGCTTTAATAAATTAAATTATTTCAGAAAGGAAATCCAAACTTGTAGAAGTTACCACAGGTCTTGTCTTAGTTGATGAACTTGAATGAGAATATAAAAAAAGGAACAACTTTGTTTATGTTTAGGAATACTTTAACTGAGGGCCAGATCAGGGTTTAAACTTTTCCACCTCTGAAATGGAGAAGCTAGTGTCAGATCACCTGTAGTCACCTGACCCAGCCCGCTACAGTTATCTTTATAACGAAGTCAATAGGAGATCTGTCATGATTGGAAAACATTCAGAATATTAGAATGACTGTCGTTATAGTGTTGTGTACCCTGGAGGTAGTGATGAGGTATCCCACCTACTACTAGTTAATGTATAAATTTAGCATTTCCTGTACTATAGTGGTAGATATTAGAATGACTGTCGTTATAGCGTTGTGTACTCTGGAGGTAGTGATGAGGTATCTCACCTACTACTAGTTAATGTATAAACTTAGCAGTTCCTGTACTATAGTGGTAGATATTAGAATGACTGTCGTTATAGCGTTGTGTACTCTGGAGGTAGTGATGAGGTATCCCACCTACTACTAGTTAATGTATAAACTTAGCAGTTCCTGTACTATAGTGGTAGATATTAGAATGACTGTCGTTATAGCGTTGTGTACTCTGGAGGTAGTGATGAGGTATCCCACCTACTACTAGTTAATGTATAAACTTAGCAGTTCCTGTACTATAGTGGTAGATATTAGAATGACTGTCGTTATAGCGTTGTGTACTCTGGAGGTAGTGATGAGGTATCCCACCTACTACTAGTTAATGTATAAACTTAGCAGTTCCTGTACTATAGTGGTAGATATTAGAATGACTGTCGTTATAGCGTTGTGTACTCTGGAGGTAGTGATGAGGTATCCCACCTACTACTAGTTAATGTATAAACTTAGCAGTTCCTGTACTATAGTGGTAGATATTAGAATGACTGTCGTTATAGCGTTGTGTACTCTGGAGGTAGTGATGAGGTATCCCACCTACTACTAGTTAATGTATAAACTTAGCAGTTCCTGTACTATAGTGGTAGATATTAGAATGACTGTCGTTATAGCGTTGTGTACTCTGGAGGTAGTGATGAGGTATCCCACCTACTACTAGTTAATGTATAAACTTAGCAGTTCCTGTACTATAGTGGTAGATATTAGAATGACTGTCGTTATAGCGTTGTGTACTCTGGAGGTAGTGATGAGGTATCCCACCTACTACTAGTTAATGTATAAACTTAGCAGTTCCTGTACTATAGTGGTAGATATTAGAATGACTGTCGTTATAGCGTTGTGTACTCTGGAGGTAGTGATGAGGTATCTCACCTACTACTAGTTAATGTATAAACTTAGCAGTTCCTGTACTATAGTGGTAGATATTAGAATGACTGTCGTTATAGCGTTGTGTACTCTGGAGGTAGTGATGAGGTATCTCACCTACTACTAGTTAATGTATAAACTTAGCAGTTCCTGTACTATAGTGGTAGATATTAGAATGACTGTCGTTATAGCGTTGTGTACTCTGGAGGTAGTGATGAGGTATCTCACCTACTACTAGTTAATGTATAAACTTAGCAGTTCCTGTACTATAGTGGTAGATATTAGAATGACTGTCGTTATAGCGTTGTGTACTCTGGAGGTAGTGATGAGGTATCTCACCTACTACTAGTTAATGTATAAACTTAGCAGTTCCTGTACTATAGTGGTAGATATTAGAATGACTGTCGTTATAGCGTTGTGTACTCTGGAGGTAGTGATGAGGTATCTCACCTACTACTAGTTAATGTATAAACTTAGCAGTTCCTGTACTATAGTGGTAGATATTAGAATGACTGTCGTTATAGCGTTGTGTACTCTGGAGGTAGTGATGAGGTATCTCACCTACTACTAGTTAATGTATAAACTTAGCAGTTCCTGTACTATAGTGGTAGATATTAGAATGACTGTCGTTATAGCGTTGTGTACTCTGGAGGTAGTGATGAGGTATCTCACCTACTACTAGTTAATGTATAAACTTAGCAGTTCCTGTACTATAGTGGTAGATATTAGAATGACTGTCGTTATAGCGTTGTGTACTCTGGAGGTAGTGATGAGGTATCTCACCTACTACTAGTTAATGTATAAACTTAGCAGTTCCTGTACTATAGTGGTAGATATTAGAATGACTGTCGTTATAGCGTTGTGTACTCTGGAGGTAGTGATGAGGTATCTCACCTACTACTAGTTAATGTATAAACTTAGCAGTTCCTGTACTATAGTGGTAGATATTAGAATGACTGTCGTTATAGCGTTGTGTACTCTGGAGGTAGTGATGAGGTATCTCACCTACTACTAGTTAA